AGCAGAAGAAGAAGAAGCAGCGGCAGCAGCAGAAGAAGAAGAAGCAGCAGCAGCAGAAGAAGCAGCAGAAGAAGAAGAAGAAGAAGAAGAAGCAGAAGAAGAAGAGTCACCGTCTCTCGGGGAGCCACTGAGTGTTTGCCGGTGAACATGGAGCCGGTGAACATGGAGCCGGTGAACATGGAGCCGGTGTCAGAGCAGCAGATCGACGGCAGCCTGATGGAGGGAGTGAGTCACTCTTTGTTACCGGAGAAATGTTCCTGCTAACAGCCTAGCATCGGGCTAACAGAGCAGCCGGTGTTGTGTGTCGGCTGATGTGTGCTCTGTCTCCCGGTGTGTGTCCTCCGCAGGGCGGACAGATCCTCCGAGTGGCCGCGGCGCTCAGCTGCATCACCGGCTCCGCCATCAAGATCAGCAACATCCGAGCCGGCAGGAGCTCACCGGGGCTCAGGTTAGCTCACAGGCTAACAAGCTAACAGGCTAATGTTAGCCTACACAGCAACACAACAATACAAACTGTGTCTGATACACAACACACACACATTTATAATTTAACTTTGATGTGTGTGTGTGTGTGTGTGTGTGTGTGTGTGTGTTTAGGCCACAGCATCTCAGCGGCTTGCAGCTGGTCTCAGATCTGTGTTGTGGTGTTCTGCAGGGAGCCAACATCAGCTCCACTGACGTGAGTCTGACTCCAGGTCAGATCCGGTCTGGAAACCACACGGCCGACACGCAGACAGCAGGGTGAGAGCGCCCTCTGCAGGAGGGAACAACAGGCCTCACCTCACCCTTTAGTTCTCAGTGAACTTCATTGTTCTTCAACACGAGGGTTCCAAAACATCGATGTGTAAAGTTTTTGTTGAATAGAAAAGTTCTGGCAGAGATAAAGTGATGACAGACTGAACGATGGAGGTGTTTTCAGTTACACTGTTTATCTCCGTCGTGTTATAATCATCCTCCACCGTCAGCTGACGTCACAATCCATGATCCACGGTTACAGATTCAAACAGGCCCAAAGGATCCATTTACAGAATCAATCAAATCTGACTCTTTATTTGTTGTGTATAATTTTAAGTGTGTGTGTATGTGTGTGTGTGTGTCAGGAGTGTGTGTCTGCTGTTGCAGGTTGCGTTGCCTTGTGCCCTGTACGCTGACGCCCCCTCACAGCTGATTCTGAAAGGAGGAACAAATGCTGAGATGGCTCCTCAGATCGACTACACACTCAAAGTTAATACACACACACACACACACACACACACACAGCCAATACACATAAAACACACACACACACAAAGTGAATATAAACACTCAGTTGAGTTTCTGTGTTTCTTCTTCAGGTGTTTAAACCCATCGTTGAAAAGTTCGGGGTCAACTTTGACTGTGACGTCAGAATGAGGTCAGAGGTCATTTCTGTTCAGTGGCGACGTTAGAAACCGAGTGTGTCTGTTTGTGTATTAACTGTGTGTGTGTGTGATTAACTGTGTGTGTTTCAGAGGGTACTATCCTAGAGGGGGGGGTGAGGTGATTGTGAAGGTGAATCCAATCAGAGAGCTGCAGCCCGTCATCATGATGGAGAGAGGAAACATCACCAAGATCCACGGCCGAGCCTTTGTCGCTGGAGTCCTGCCCTACAAAGTAAAGTTACAGCGCTGCTTTTATTGCACAGGGTCACAGACAGGAAGTGATGGAGGACAGAGACATTCCATCCTAAACTGAGACAATTTTTTATCAGTGAGCGCTTTTCACGTTCATGCTAATGTTCTAAAATCTTTCCATCTCATCAGGTCTTGGTCAGTCTCTGCCCTCTGCTGACTGGTGGTGGAATTACAGCTCAGCAACTTATCATGCATTAGCATAATTAGCACACGTTAGCTTGGCTTGTTATCTGCATCCTGAGAACAGAGGGAAACATTTTCTGATTTCGTATTTATTGGGCAATAAAAAACATCTCACCATCAAGACTTTTTAAAAAGAATTGTCATGTAAATTTTACAGCAGGTTAGTGTGTTTGTCGATGAAACCAACAATACAATGATTATTATTTATCCTCGTGTTTCTCTGCTGGTTTGTTGGTTTGTGAAGAGTTGTGTTATATTTTCTGAATGTTTTAACAAGATGTGGAACTAAAGTAGTTTGTTCTCAATGTGAAGGAGTCATGCTGACACTTGGATGTGAATATGTGATAAAGAAACAGCAAACCACCTTAAATTCAATCTGTACACTCGTAAACAACCGTCTAGACGGATGGTTTTCATCAAGATCCAAAGAAATGTTCAGAAATCGACATTGTGTTGTTGAGTTAACGTGACAGGGCAGCAGCTGTGTGTGTTGTTTTGTGTGTATTTTAGTATTTGCTCTCTTGTTATGCTGATGTAATATTTAAGGAACGTCTCCAGTGAACTCTTTCAAATCAAACACATGTCCACTTGGACTCACGGATCAACTTGTTAGATTTCGGTGGTCAAAGGTCACGGTCTTGAATGTGATGTCTCATGGCTGCTTTAGGGAATTTCTTCAACTTTTGATCAGTTGTCACTTGAACTCAAAGAACATAGTTTGTGTGTTTGTTGTGTTGAAGGTGTGTTTATTGTCTCCTCAGTTGGCTAAAGACATGGCGGCGGCGGCGGTTCGAACCATCAGGAAGGAGATCAAAGAGCTGTACATAAATATTCAGCCGCTGCAGGAGAAAGAAAATTCCTGCGGTAACGGCAACGGCATCATGTAAGCCCTGACCACCTGCTGACATCACACTGCAGCGGTTACATAGGTGTGCTGCTCTCTGATTGGTTCCTTTTGTTTCAGAATCATCGCTGAGTCGTCGACAGGTTGTATGTTCGCAGGTTCCGCCCTGGGGAAGAAAGGTGAGCATAAACCTGAACCAGTAGGGGGCACAACACTCACATTTACATGATGTGATTAAAGAGTTTCGTTAATTAAAGTGGTTCTGAGGAACAACAAACACACCCCTCCTTTCACTGTTCTTTAGAAGCTCCGTGCTTGTGCATCACCAAGGTAACCACTGATCTCAACATAATTAGCTACCACAAACATTAGCGTAATCTGTCGACAATCTAGACAAAAAACACAAAACGACACGTTCAACAACCAGAATCAGTGGCTTCAGTGAGAAAATTATTGTGGGTATAAGTCCTGTGAGATAGCATGTTTGCATTTCCTGTGGCTAGTAGTATTTGCTATGTTCTGAAACTGGTCGTGCTGCACGTTATCTGTCGCATTTGTAAAAGTGTATTGAATAAAATGAACTTCCCTCAAAATGAAAACTTATCTGATCAGATCATATTTTCTCATTGCGTGTGTTTCAGGTGTATATGCTGATAAAATTGGTTTTGAAGCAGCTGAGATGTTGTTGAGAAACATTCGACATAACGGCTGCGTGGACGAGTTCCTGCAGGACCAGGTGAGCACACGCCTCTGACCTCACTGTGACGTCACTGTGACCTCACTTTGAATCACATGACCTCCTCTTTCTCCTCAGCTCATCATCTTCATGGCGTTGGCTAAGGGAACGTCTCGGATTAGAACGGGTGCTGTGACGCTACACACTCAGACGGCCATTCACATCGCAGAGCAGCTCACTCTGGTCAGAGCCTCGCTCACACACACACACACACACACACACA